TAGTGTATAATAATTGAAATGTGACGGTAGTTTACAAAATATTAGTCTGCTAAAACACAGACAAGATAAATTACTTTGCACAGACCAAAGGTCAGTTTTATGTTACTTGATACAGTAACATGAGTGCACGTGAGCCACATCATTGTAACTTCTGTATTGTTAGCCAGGCATGACAGAAAGGTCAATATGAGAAAAATAATAAATATATATAAATGTATAATGTTATGAGATTTAAGCTATTTAGTTTAAACATATATGTTTTCATGTTATAATTTGTGTTCATTTTAGAACGAAAAAGGCATAATTTTTTCATTTCCTAACTTTTTATGGTGGTTACAAGATTGGTCAAATCTACCAAACCCGTACAGAGATAAATTACTGAAAATAAAAGATAAAATATAAAGTATTTTCTTAAGAAACATTTGTTAACTATCTGGACATTATAGAGATTTCGCATGTGAAATTTGAAAATTTTCTGAAGCATAAAAGTATTTATAATCTTAAAATGAAAATCACTTTGCGTGATAGATAGGCAACATGTGAAAAGAAAAAAAAAAGGCACGAGAAAAACATTGTTTTACAAACTTTAAAACTTATTAAAAAAATTTTATATTTTGCGTATGAAAGCATTGTAATGTTTACTGATAATCTGCCAAATTACGTTAACATTTGCTTACTAATCTAAAAGTTATAGCATGAAAACTATAACAAGCACAAAATGGTTATGAGGTCCATCCCAGGGACCGAGCCCGTTCTGAAAGAGATAACAAGAACTACAAAAATTGCCAAAGCTATGACTTTTAATAGCTTAGTTTTATATATCTTTATCATAAAAATCACCAATATATAATTTCAGTAATATTTACTTCTGAAAGATATAATGCTAGTTTCACTTTTATAGGATTATATCTATTTTTAGTCACTAACAAAGAAATTGCAGTTTCAAACTCACACATTTCTTGTTTCTAACAACATTTTACAAGTTTAAGAAAAAGGAATCCTCAATAGCTGTGGCACTTCAAATTCTTTTAGGCAGGAATAGAGTAAATTAATTTTTGAGATTTATTTTTTTTTCCTCTTTATTAGCTATATTTATGTGTGCCAGCAATACCAAACATGGGGCTTGCTTGTACCCAATTCGATTTTATTACTCATCAGGATCTCTACCAGCCTATCCTCAAATTGAAATTCTTTTAGGTAGGATTAAAGTAAATTAATCTATGAGACCTTGGGCAAGGTCAAAAAAATCACACGAAAGGGTTTGACCTCCCGAGTCCAAAACTGTGATTAGATCTTTAATCGGTCAAGAGATGACGGAGCTACGAACTAAAAGTTTGTACTTGAAAAACTCGAGAGCCATTATATGAGCTGCTATGCTGTGGCTAAAAACTGTAAAATAAAACTGAGTTTCCATTATCAAATGTAAATATTAGCTCACGTTCTTTACCTGTATAAGTAGTAAGCTTCCTCCAACTGCAGTGGCAGCAACTTTTCCAATTTTGGTAAAAACAAATCCTGTACACCTTTAAAAAATATAAAAATAAACTGATTCACATTAAAAAAAACTTAGTAAAAGTTCTCAATGTTGAGATCCTAAGTAAATTAATATAAAAAATATTGTGGTTGAAAGACAAAGAAAAAGAAGTTTGTAAAGAATATAAGTAACATTTGTCAAGTAAGAAACAAAATTAAAAGTTTGGAATGTGTTTAAATCAAATTACCTAAAAATCAAAAATTAGTTGTATTAAAAAAAATTGGTCAATAAGACTATCTTCCTGTTTATATAGATCTTTTGTTTTATGAATAAGCCAATATATATAATATTATTTAATTAATTAATTTAATTTATGAATTAAGATAATACAAAAATGCTAGCCAGAATTATACTGATTTAAAATAAATAAATTTCATTTTTTAAACATTCTGATTTCAAAAATACAAAATTACTAATAAAAAATATTTGTTTTATAATTACTCCTCACCTTGTAGGTTTTTTTTTTTTCAATTTCTCGCAAAGGTACACAAAGGCTATCTGCGTTAGCCGTCCCTAATTTAGCAATGTAAGCTAGTCGTCACCAGCCACCGCCAACTCTTGGGCTACTCTTTTACCACTGAATAGTGGCATTGACCATCACAATATAACACCCCCACGGCTGAAAGGGCAAGCATATTTGGTGGGACAGGGATTCGAATCCGCAACCCTCAGATTGCAAGTCGAGCGCCCTAACCACCTGGCCATGCTGGACCCACCTTGTGAGACAAACCATATATGTGAAATACAAAAAAAAACTATGTTCAACAGGAAAATTATGGTGGTGAAAGATATTCATGTAGTATTTAGAATCCAGCTTAAAGAGTCATTGTTCTGGATATTAGTACTTATTTAACAGCTGTATAGTTCAAGTTTTCATATTATTCATGAGAAAAAGTATAACCTAAAAAACCTACTGTACTTATTAATAAGAAGTTATAAAAAAATGACTAACTACCAAATAATTTTGATTTCTTCAGTAAGAGTTACAAAACTTAAACTTGGTTATCAATAACATTTTGTATGCATAAATTTATTTTATTTTTCAAAAGCATGTAAATTTACTGCACTGAAATAGTTTTAGTATGGTAAGTGAATATTAGAAATAGAAACATTTCTTATGAAGCTGGTCTGTTTCATTAATTTTCCTGTGAATTCAGTCAATTGAATCTACTTTGGTTCTGGATTAGTAACAAATCAATGTTTACTGTAAATCAAAGTAAACTTACTTGATTTAACTCAAGTGAAATTGAGACATAATGCATCAACAGCTGCTAGTCTGAAGAATTTCCTCTAGAGTACTTTGACTGTGATGTCAATGACATCACCAAATGTTGAATTTGGAAAGAGGTAACTCAAAATTCATTCTTAAGATGTGTGGGAACGTTCTAGTAAACACCAAAGATCAATTGAATAAGTCAATATTTTAAAGAGTTGTAGCAAGATCTGAAGAGCATGATATACTGCGCAAGATATAAACAATCTTTTCTGAGACCCTCTGAAAGATTCAGGAGAAGCAAAATAACAATGAGTAACCCCTGACAGGACATAAAAAGCTCTTTTTTGATTTCTATCAAGAATAAAAATCAGTCAGGATATGTAACACAATAGGTCAAAAACAGTGGTTGCCTTCTCTTGAAATCCAAGTTTTACATGAGAAAACCTGACCAGGGTATGATCAGAAACAGAAAATAAGGTATGAGAAGCAAAGAAACTTATCAAGGCCCATTTAGGACAATGCCTAGAAAGTTGGAGTCTTGGAAAATGTCAATAAATAATAGAGACAAAATGGATTGTGGTATCTAAAGGTGGCAGATAAAGCAGCTCTGTAACCAGCTATGGAATAAGCTGATAAGCCACAATTAATAAACAAATACATAAAGAAAGGAGCAATTTGTTAAGAAGTTGGAGATAATGATATATCATGTCTAATACACGAACTCCAAAAAAATAGCCTAATGAGACTGATAAACAACCAAAGAAGAGCATATGCAAGAATGGGTTAACATTTGAGCCACCTATAAACAGAATCTGGTTTCTCAGAGAATTAACATAACAATAGCCAACAGTAAAGTTGTGGACATTGAACATCCTTATTGCAGATAATGATTCCACAGTAATAATGGGACTGGTTGCCTGTGAGAAAGTTGATGCAGTAGGAGAAATTAAGGCTGAGCAAGCCAAAGTAGATCAGTGAAGAGAAGCTGGTACTTTGAGTAATTGATCTTGAACCAAGTCTTGATGAAAATGGTGCAGTGGATGACAAGCATGAAGGAGGAGTTTCTCCCAAGATTGACTCAGTATATCCACTGCAAAAGAATTTAGATCTGTAACTGGAGACCAGCAGAGTGGAAGAAAATGGTTGATTGATGTAGCAAAGGCATCAGTCATCAGACAATACAGACATACATAAATCCATTTAAAACCAAAAGGTGAAGGGTCCACTATGTGAGAAAAATGTGATGATCTTGAGAAAAAGTTAGCTAGAATGTTCCTTTCAGGAATGTGGCACGCTTGTAAATGAAGATGTTGAGAACGAAGCTAAAGAAGTGGAGAGACTGCAATGAAACAAAAGCTGTGAGAATGAGTACTTTCCGTGATTGTTGATAGAAGCTACCACAATAGATTTGTGTGAAGTAACACAGTATAATAGTGGTGAAGGGACAGAAACTCGAGGCATACAAAGTTCTAAAACCTTGATATGAGCTGTTGCTTTTTGATGAGTCCAAAAACCAGAATAATTATTACTCAACATAATGCTCCAACCCTTGAGAGAGGCATCTGTTAAAAGATGAAGGTTAAAAGTGCATGGGAGTTCCTGCTGTTGGCAGAAAGAGTGATGGTGCATGACAATAAGACTGAAGTCAAATGCCACTAGAAGCAAGGTCCCCTTTCAGGTGATGTACATGAATGAGCCACAAGAGAGTAACTTCAAAAAATGAAGCTATCAACCCCAAAGCAGAAAGGATGTTTTTGGCAGTTGATGTACCAAATACTGTGTTGGTGCTAAAACAGATATGGGATTGTGGATGATCCATGTAAGAAAAGTAATCAGTTGGGTGATCAAGTGAATGAGTATAAAAGTTGAAGAAAGGGTCAGAAAAAGCCAATTGTCCATGTAAAAGTGAAAGTTGATGGAGAACACTTGCAAAAGCTTTGAATACTGTATATAAAAAGTATGGAGCCAAGGTCAAGTTGAAGGGAATGGTAGTAAAACTGGTAACTCATTCCCCAAAGGCAAAAATGAAGAAAATAATTGAATGATGGATGAATAGCAATATGAAGGTATGCATTATGTACATTTACCTTTGTCATCCAAAATGGCTTTGACTAAGAAACTTAATTAACTTTCTCATGTTTTCTATTTAGAAATGGGGTGTATATAGAGCTGAGACAGGTTGATGACTGATCTACAATCTCTTGTTTTCTTTAGGACTACAAAGAGATGGGAGAAAAACCTGGAGACATGATATATGATTTCTGCTTCTTTCTGAAGATCTGAGACTTCCTGATCCAGAAGTTGTACACAGATAGATTCAGAAGGATGAAGAAACAAACCGTTGCAATGAAATAGGAGGAGGACATCTAATGTGATAGTAAACACCGAACTGAAGGACCACAGATGAACAAATTACCATGATACACCCCCCCCCCAAAGTCACGGCAGAGACGTCACCTGGAACAGAAGAGAGTCAATGAGTGGGTTGAAAAGACCCACTTTCTTTACTCTGATGTTTGGTCATTCAAACAAATTAAAAGATACTTTTCTTTTCTAATTTTCAATTGACACCCACTACTTATAATTGTAAGACAAAGAACAAACATTTTTATCATTTTGAAAAGATGCTAAAACTCTAATCAACTCTTGCTGGCATGCTTCTCCTGAAGGGGAACCAATTCAAGTGAAATACCTGCAAATACAAAATGATGCACGAAAGAATCTCTTTCAAGGTCAGCTGAAATGTAGGAATAGCATAGTAATTTCTAATGTGTGTATTCCAGTTAATGGAGAATTATAAAAAATACTATATCACCCTTATGGAAAACATTATCCTGATGCCTGGGGGAGGGGAACCCTAGAAGTGTCAGTGAAATATAAATAAATGAAGATTCAAAACAAAAGAAGTGATCAAAAAGCTCAGAAAGGGGTACAATAAGAGTTTAAAGAACCACTGTAATATCTTAGAAATGTTACTTTACATTATAGAATGCTACTTTTTGTTACTCATTATCTTTTGTACAGGTTCTTTGTTACTAAAGTAAAACTAATTTTGGCTCTTTTTATACATTGAAAAGAGCCAATACAGATCTGGGAGCTATTTAAAGGAATTGTGAATAAAAGAACAGGAAGATTATTATAACATTATACAAGACTTTCCTGAGATGTCTTAGAGTAGAGTATACACCATTACTACAAGAAAAAAAACATGTTATGCACCATTCTTGTAGGAAAAAAATATACAAACATGTTGGAGTTAGAGTAACAACTAGAGGAATACTGGATTTAAAATATATAATCTACAAGTAGAGACATATGATTTGGTACTTATTTTCACAGGGGAGTAAATTAGATATGAAGTAATTTGGTTCATGAACATACAATGCTTGAGAATTTAAATATTTTTTGCTCAGGTGGCCAATTTTAGTGTCAGAAGGTAATAAGAATTTCAATATTAAAGGTAACAGGTTGAAGCTGGAGAAGCTCAGATGCAGACTTTGTTCTTTAACAAAATTGATTTGTCAGTTAAAGACTTAAATTTAAAAACTAATTGAATGGGTTTTCTGATGACATAGTGATTGCTGATAAGTTAATTTTGTTTAAACTTTCATTAAACAAATAAATGGATGTAAAGACTAAATGTAATTTAGATTGATTTTGGGTTGGGTAAGGGGTGGCCTTGATCTTCTGAATGGCTTAGTGTCATTTTGCAGTTATGATCTTATTTTTACGTGAATCTACTTAAATACATTACTCCCAAGCATGGATACATTCTTCTAGTTAATATTAAACATTTTTACAGTTATGTTTTCATTATTATTTGGATTTCTTGCACAAGTTATGGTTGGTAAGTGTTAGGTGTAATAATAATAATAAATAAGAAACTACATATATAAAGTGAAAAGATAGCTTTACCATCCAGTAATCCCTCCAACTGTTATCTGTTTAGCAGTAGAAGCCTTAGTAATATCACCCAGAAAGTGCTGAAACCAATTTTTTCCATTTTTTGCACTTCCTCGAACATCCAGTATTTCAAATACATCATCAGGATCTTGATCTTTACCTTAAAGAAGATTATGGATATAAATATAATAGGAAACATGTGCCTGGAGGTAAGTTACTAAAATCTTATGATATACTGACAATGGTAAAGGATACTTAAATTGTGTTGGGCTTACATGAATTTTTTGCTTATTAAAGCAATGGCGAGTTCCTGTAACTAATCTCATTGTAAAAACTTTACTTTGATGTAAAAGTACTCAATAAGATGAGTTTTCATCCAATTTAAATAAACTTGGAGCATATGAAATATTTTGAAAGTGAAGAATAAAAAAAGGAAGAAATATAATGCTGCAAAATTAAACCAATATATACTTTTATTAGTTATGCATACCTAAAGATGTAAAATAACTCTCCTTATGGTTTACCAACTTTAAGCACTTGCACGTGTGACACTAGAGTATTTGAGTATCAGTGAATTTTCATGAAGTTACAAAAGTATCCTAATATTATGAAGGATGATGAAGGATCCACAGCAAAATATTCACAAAATATTAAACCCCTAAAATTAAAATAATTTTCAAATTGAAGTCATAAAGGTACAATAAAAATGTTTACATTAACATTTCTATAGAGGTGTAGTCAAAAGCATAGATGGCGGATAAGGGTACTAAAAACTTTTACTTAAAAAATACAAGTAACAATATTTCAACCTAGTTAGGTTATCATCAAGTTAAGATGACTTTTTCAAGGTGATTTTGAACCTAAGTAGGTCTAAACACTGTCACTTGTATTGTGTTTTTAAATAAAAGTTTTTAATACCCATATCAGCCATAGATTTACTTCAAGTGGATTACTCAACACCATGAATTATTTCATCAGAGATGTAGTCTTTTTGAAAAACCTAAGTACCATTAAAACTGTGCCAATTTAGACATACTTCTAAAAAAATCCTGGAAATTACAATCAGACAATTTATACACAAACTACACATGACAACTTGCAAACAATTAAATTGGTATTATGGAACAATGATGAAACAAGTAATTTTTTTATTTTCTGTTCATTTTATACAGAAAAAATACTATATGTAAACTGGGTACAGTATCTAGTAATATCTTAACTAAAGTTTTTGATTAATTTTTCATGGATTGTTATTGTGTAAAAGCAACAGTTTGAGAGAACATTAAATAAATCCATTTATTGAACTGAAATTACTGTTTTGCACAATAAATCCTGAAAAGTAATGTTTCTTAATTGTTATGGAGAATAATATGTTGAAATTTAGAAAAGCATAAGAACACACTGACCAACATTAAGTTTCAAATAACCATGAACAATTCATTAACTTACTATCTAATTGTTTTCAAACACTAACACTAAATTAAACTGAAGCTGATGAAAGAGTACTTACCACGCTTCATCCTGCTTTAAACTTTTACAGTCAATACTAAAGGTGCAATTAAAATATATTTATCAGAAACATTCGCAAAGAAATAGAATTTCTTTTAATAATTATAAGTTAAATATACTCTAATACTGCTATATTTCATGTTAGTAAAACATAGCTTGATCTTCTATTTTTCAAATATAAAACCTCTACAAAGGACAGTAAGTTACTTTCTAAAAAAAGAATTTAAAGTTTAGCAACAAAAGTGGACTCTACATTAGTAACTAAAGGAAATTTAACCTCTTCCATGTCTGGCAATTTTTGAAATTAAGTCATCAAAAACAAAAAGTCAGGTTTTTTTATTTTGCTTTTTGATAGCTTAACTTATAATATTAATGAAACAAAAGTTTTATGATCTGCTTTTATATTTCTGCACAACATATACCTGATAAATAAATGCTACACATCTGGATTTATACGTGATATATATTATTTCAATGAAACTACATTAAAGAATACCGACTATTTTTGGAAACATGGAAGGCACCCAAGTTATCACTGGCAAATCACGGAAGGGGTTAACTTCCATTCAGTCTATCTGAATGTTTCAAAGTGGTAATATGTTTTGTCTTTCAACTGTAATAATTTTAAAAATATTACTTAAATTCCCACCATTAACCTAGCAGTAAATCTGAAACAGTAAAAAATATTATATATATTGTTGTAAGCTATATTTTTTAACGTTTTAATTAAGATCAGATGATGTCAAGAAATTCTAGTATCTCTGTGATGAATATCTAGAAGCGAGACTTCAGTTATAAACGTCGAGAGCCAGCATGGGCCCCGGGGTAAACATCCTCGCCGGGCCCCGTTTCTCTCTCTCTTTTTTTTAACATTTTCAAGAATTTATTAAAAATATCCTAAATTAGGACAGCAACAAGCTCATAAACCAGT